TGCTCTGATTTCCCCGTTTTTACCTTAGGGGCCAAATACAAGACACAATAAAGGAAGTTGATTTTGATTGGCTGAACTAGAGAGAGAAATGTTTTCTGGGGATTTGAGTCTTAAACGTCGAACAACGTAGACGTTTTCTCAGTCGTCTCTGGAGATGCTCTTCGGTGGATAGTTAGAGATGTATACGTGGACGTGTTAATTAAAATAGTAAAGTCTAAAATCCCCTTTGTTGAAGTTCTTTTACCTCCGGACCAGAACAACTAGCGATCACCGACCGAGATAGAGAGAGAAAGAGAGAGAGAGAGAGAGAGAGAAGATGCATTATATTAATGAAGAGACACCCAGCATGAGGGCGTTATGCAACAAGTGAACGCGAGGAAGATTTCCATACGAGGAATATCCTAACACAATGATGGCTTCTATCACAGATCACGAATTCAAATTTCACCGTACAAACCCAGCATTCTCATTCTCGTTAAACTATTAGTATAAATATTTGAATTTTTGGGATGCGATTTTTTTTAATCATTTCACTCAAGCAAGGTAATAAAGCCACTGAGATGCAGAGTGAAAGAATATAAGAAAAATAATAACATTATTGAGAAGCAAGGGCAATAAAGGAACATAAATTATGAAAACGGAAAGTAACAAGTGAAATTGCATTTATTTATTTATTTATATTTTTGCATCAAAGTTAACTGGAAATTAAGATCCCAGAAGAGAGTTACACAAGCGAGAAGTGCGAGAAAAACCTAAAATAGAACTTACGGTTACATCTAGGCATTTCAATTATAGAAAGGTGAGATCTTTCCAACAATCTAGCACTGCGCTTAAATTCAAAGCATAAAGCTCATCAGAATTTACATTCGGACCAATATCTTTTTTGTTGTCACTACAACGTTTCGGTCTTTGTACCCTCCGGCATTCTTCAGATGTCTATGGATCATTGTAACCTTCAGGTAATTTCATACACAACATATTTCAACTACGAATGCTTGATTGTTCTCGTTCCGTTGAGCGTTGAGTATATTTTGTTTAGGTTTACTGAAATTATAGTATTCGTATCTATATTATTAACTCGTTTGTATTACTAAAACTAATATATTACTCGATGGACATTGAAAAAAAAAAAAAAAAAAAAAAAAAAAAGAAGTGTCTACCCACGTAGATTAAATTAAAGGTTCAGTTCGAAATCCTCTGAAGATTACCGGATCGACAGAGAGCTGAAGAAGATCTGGAGGCTCAATGGTCGAAACGTGATGACAATAGCAACAGAGTCCAAATAATTATACAAACGTATCTAACATGTGTCTATATTTCTAAGATGGGGTATTGTAACTAAAGAGTGTTTCACTAACTTGGACCAATATTAAATATGAATGAAGTTTAAGCGTCTAATGAGTTTATTTTTCTTTTAGATTTAGCGGACATTTAGGCGATATTGTTTTTCAAGCATAATTGTCATGAGTTAAATAACATGATCCAATAGAGAAATAAATTTTCACCAATAACACTGATTTATTCACAATTGACTTTGAAACACATTTTATTTACGCTATTTACATTGTTCGGACTGTTGTCCTCATCTTTGTTGCCATATTCACGGCATTTTGGCCGTTGTCTGCTCCTGCCTTCTTCAGGTGACTGAAATTTCCAACCGAATCCTTTATTTCGTCCATCGGGGTTATATAGTTCTAGTTCCATTCCTCTTCCAATGACCTGAAGATGGCCGGAGCGAGGAACAGCGGAAACGTCGTGAGTATGACGACAAAGATGAGTCCGAACAATGCAAATAGTGTATTTGACATGTTTGTATGATTTGTTGAAGAAACATAAAAACAAGATGAGCCTTACATTGATCTTCGAGAATTAATTTTTTTTTTAATTTCGAAAGAGTTATTTTTTTTTTTTTTTTTAGATATATTCCTTACTGAAGGCGATACGAATGTCAAGTTCAGTTAATTACGGTCTTATGTTGTTTTTAATTAATTTCATCGCTGAAAAAGGTTTTTTTCGTATTTGCTTATAGTTTCAGACTTCTGGAAAATGTCGATTTGATAACAGTCCCCAGAAACTAGCTTTATCAGAAGCATTTACTATTGAGATACTCACATCGAATCTCATTTTTAATAATGGATTTGTTTTCAAGTCAACAAGTTAGGCAGTCCTGCTTTTTTATCTTTAAGTGAAAATGAATTTATAAATGAAAGCATAATGTTTTCTAAATCTTTCTACAATTCATTTTCACTTTCTCATTTTCTATTGTGACAATAAAATTGAATTAAACAAACAAGCTGATTGGCCTCACTGACAGGAAGTGGAATGATTATATTGAATCAATTGCTCGTTCTCCTGCTAAGAAAGTTGGTTTACTGTTTCATACCAGAATATGTTTCTCGTCAGAATGCATCTTTCACATTTATGCATCGATCATTTGCACGTACAGTGTTGACAAAATTCAAAGAAGAGTCTGTAATTTAATCGATCCTGACTTCAGTCACATTCTCAATGACGTGACACGGCTCCTATCTGTCTTTTCTATAGATATTTTCATGGCAACTATTCGGAGGTTTTGTTTTTCCTTCGTGCCTCCAATGCATGAATTTAAATGTTCTACTTGATTGGAAAATAGGTCTCACTGTTTTACTGTTGAAGTAACCGCCACTTCTGTTCTAAGTGTTTCTTTTCTCGCAATTCTCAGCCGTGGAACTCACTTCCTATTTCTTGCTTCCCTGCAACCTACAATCTTCAAAATTTAAATGCAAAGTCAATCGCCATCTTCTGCCTTCCCGAAACCTAATCAGTTATTGTTATTTTCCTTACTTCTCTTCACTAAAGCTTTCACATTATCTATCACTCTGTATAACCCCCTTGCGTCCTAGTGGCATTATCGCCTTGTCTGGAGTGAAAGGATTAAAAATAGGTGTCTCCATTTTTTTCGCTGAAAAAAATAGGATTGCATGAAAAAAGGACGTCAAATTAATAAAAAAGAAAAAAAAATCGTCAAAATGCTTATTATTAAAAGGAAAGACCAAAGTGTTTTTCTTATTTCTAGCATTTTCTTTTTTTACTCCAGTGCTCGACGTAATATTTACGATTAGTGCTTTAGTGCCTTTTTTAAGCTGAAAAACACTTTCATTTAGAATTTCTTGCAAAAGAAAAAAAAAAAAAAAAAATCAAATAATTATCGGATTTTAATGAAGCTTTTATAATTATCGGATTTTAATGAAGCTTTTATAACTTATTCCAAAATGAATAAAATTATTTTTGAAATATTTTTTTAGAAATTTTTTTTTTTTTTTTACATACCCCACTTAAATCCTTGGATAATGAAAAAACATTAGTTTTGATTTTTAAACTACTAATCATTTCCTAAAGATCTGCTACGAATCGTAAAATATAAAATGTAGTAAAACTATGATATTATTGAATGAGAAAAGCTCTATTGGTGCTGCGGAAGAGGGTAGCCGGTTAGGCGTAAAGGTTGAAAGACAATCAAAAATTTAGAAACAGTTTTAAAAATTCATATGTCAAAAATAAATATGATTTCAAAATTTAAATTATTAGTGAATTACTTGTAATTGTAGGTATGAATCCCAGTATAAACAGTTCTAAATAATTACTGAAGGATTTTATCAATGTGATATTTTTGGATTATATCAAGTATTAGGAATATAGTAACGGGTCTGCAAATAGGAAGAGAGTGTTATCAATGATAATGTTCTGACTTTGAATCTGTGATTAACAAGCTTTAATACTGTATTTGTTTTTGTTCTTAAAAATATTTTAAATAAGCTGACGCGCTAGCAATTTTTCATGTAAATTTAGGGAACACGCTGTATCCACTGAAGTAGATTGCTCCTAACCTATACACATGGGTAAAAAAATTGCTTTCAATGGTCCAAATTCATATAGCATGTAACACACACACACACATATATATATATATATATATATATATATAATTATTTTTTATAAAAAAAATAACATAAGTATGTTATAAAATCACTACAAAAATAGCTATTTTGTTTCAACACACTGTGTCTTATCAAGTGATGATGTTGAAAATAAAATAAATGGTTTTAAAAGTTTCAGATTAATTAACGATCCTACACTAGGGGGAAACATTGTTACAAAAGCTAGAACAACCAATCAAAAACCAAGTATTGAAAGATTCTAAAGCTTGGCAACGAAATCATGTTATAATAGCTAATCAGATCTTTAAAATACGTGTAATATTAAAAATAATTTATAATAACCAATAATTATAAAATTATATGATAAAATTTAATATTAAAATTAAAAACTGGCAATTTTAAAATCCAAATTTAATCACTATTAAGATTAAAAACTACAAAATTATTGAGAAAAGAAAAAATATATATGTTTATTCAATTCATTTTTTCATTGAAAAACGCTTCTAATACATCCGGTCAATATTTGACAATACATGTATATATTTTTTTTCTTTTCCTTTTCTTTTTTTTTTGTAGTGATTTTATAACATACTTATGTTATAATTTTTTATAAAAATAATTATATCTGCTCTACTTTGTATTGAGCACTCTTAAGAATAGTAATTGTTGGTTATTGGAATTCATTCCGTATATACCAATTATATATTTATATATATATATATATATATATATATATATCACTTCAAATATAACTATGGATCAAATTTTAGTAGATTAAATCAAAATACGATATAGCATGAACTGCAAGGAAATACTTTTTACTTTTAGAATCTGTTATTATACAAAAGAAAATCTCTATTAAATGTACTTTGCCTTGGGAACATCTTGAAATGTGTTGAACATATGCTGAAAATAATAATAATAATCATGGCAAATAATTAATAGATTTCAACGAGTTGGTCTAGCTCCGTATAACCGTTTTAACACATTGCATCACTATGGATTAAAATGAATTCCAACAAACGTACAGCGGAATCTCGTCTGTCATACGGGAAATACCCATTTCTTGATAATAAACGAAACAGGCGAAAATATCTGGAAAAAGCAAAGAAAAAAAGAAAAGCAAAGCAAAGAAAAAAGCAAAGAAAAAAAAAGCAAAGAACGAAAGCAAAGAAAAAAAAGCAAAGAACGAAAGCAAAGAACGAAAGCAAAGAAAAAAAAAGCAAAGAACGAAAGCAAAGAAAAAAAAAGCAAAGAACGAAAGCAAAGAAAAAAAAAGCAAAGAACGAAAAAAAAAAAAAAAAAAAAGAACGAAAGCAAAGAAAAAAAAAAGCAAAAGAACGAAAGCAAAAAAAAAAAGCAAAGAACGAAATCTTTTAAAAAAAAAAAGCAAAGAACGAAAGCAAAGAAAAAAAAAGCAAAGAACGAAAGCAAAGAAAAAAAAAGCAAAGAACGAAAGCAAAAAAAAAAAAAGCAAAGAACGAAAGCAAAGAAAAAAAAAGCAAAGAACGAAAGCAAAGAAAAAAAAAGCAAAGAACGAAAGCAAGGAATGAACTTTAAACAATTTATCATCGATTTTTGTTCCGTGGCACATTATCTTATGTTAAAATTGGAAAAATATCAGAAAAATGTCTAATAGAATAACCTGGTCACTTGAATTTAACAGAACTTATTGCGATAAATTCTTGCCACCTACGAGTACATACATTCTCACTCTCTCTCTTTATAGCAATTTATTCAGTCGGTACTTGCTCGGATCCGATCATCAGGATCATCATCCGCCCTCATTATTCTCTTTCTCTCTTCTGGTGGCGCAGATGACTTTCATGGCCATCTTCGTCAGTCTGTTCGTGAAGAGTCATGAGCAGGAGTCACAAAGAAAGTGGTTGTTGGATGTAGATGGAAGAGCCGGGCTCTCCTGACAGAACGTCGCAGAATGTATGGAGCACCCAATGAGAATCGAACTCTCGTGTAAATTTGTATATGTCCATGTTTATATGCGCGTGTTTATATATTTATCACTTCATTTATTGTATTTATTTAAATAATTGCATTTGTCTTTGCACGTCTTTCTTTGAAAATGTTGACACGTGTTCAGTTCAAATACAAGCATATTTCGTCATAATTAGATCATATCCATGTACAATAGACACACACGTTGACGTATGAGAACCCATCCAGTTCAGTAGCCGAATGGTTAGACTGCATAGATTGATAATTTGATTACAGTGGTGAAGGCTTGTAGAGAATCAGTAGCACATTCCGGAAGAATTGATAATCGCGGAATAGCGCTTCACGTGCCATGCGACCTTCGAACGGTCATCTTCGCGTCTTGTTGGGACAGAGTTTGACCTTTCCAAAATAATGTTAAACCACACGCAGAGTACATGGGTTTAAATATTGTTCGAATTTATTGTTTTCCTTCTTCTATATTAGTCGCCATTCAATGCCAATAAAAAATAAATCTAATCTGCTCCTCTATTAAAAACAGTTGGGAGAAGATGGAAGATTGATTCATGCCTTTTTTAAGTAGTATAAGGCGAAGTGTACGAAACGAACTTGGACAAAATCTGAACTCCGTTCGTCGGTTCCAATTTCAACTCTGATAACCGTTACGCTACTACACAGACACACACACATATAAGAAAGAACAGTCAGATTTATAAATCGTTGTTCTTTGCAGTTATTTAAAAAACAAAAAACAAAAACTGTGCTCGATACAAAACAGTAGAAGAAAATATAATTGTTTTCTTTTTTAAAATAGGATTCTATCGCGACACAGAAATTTTCCATGTTTCAAAACTGAAACTAAATTTATTAATTATTAAAATTAAATTTAAAATCAATAGTCTCGTTCCATTGACAAGCGATGATAGGAAAAAAAAAGCTTTACTACTTAATTTATAAATGCAGACAATATTGATATTATGAGTTGTTAAGTTTAAAGAAAATCTATTTTAATTTAGTGGTCGCTGGGTTTTAATTTCCCTAGACAGGTATTGCATAAAATATATGTTACTTACAAGGTCAGGTTAAGTTTAGGTGGTGTAGGGTCTGCTAACAAACACATACTTCCGTTATTCAGTGATTCGATTCAATTATATTTTTAAAAAGAAAATAATTACAATAATATATATATATATATATATATATATATATATATATATATATATAAAGAAATATAGTTTTAAGGTGTGCTATATTTCTGGGGTAAAATTCTCAATATTAAAGATAGAGCATATGTAAATATAAATATAAAAGTGACCATTGGAGTCAGAACTCAGAGGCGACAGGCTGTTTCATGCTAGATGCAAACTTCAGGCTATTTGCGTCTAGCATTTTATATTATATATATATATATATATATATATATATTATAAAAGATTATAATAAAAGCATACTAAAATTGCTACACAAAAGCTTTCATGTTTCGGTACGTTGATTGTACTCCTTCAGGCGATGTTAAGTAACTGATTTTTAAGGAAATTTAAAAACAATTTGTTACCTCTTTTCCGAAAATTAAATTGATGGGGGGAACAAAGTCGGAATTAAAATTAGATCCGCGCTGAATAGAAAAGTAAGCTCGTAGGGTAGATGGCTGAGTTTTATTGATGTCATTATAAACTAGAACATAGACAGGCCATCGTTGTCTAATTTATGGAAAAATATATGTAGATTGTGGAAATATATATATATATATATATATATATATATATATATATATATATAACACACAGTTAAAAGGAGAAGAAATGAGGTGCAATTTCCCTGTACGTACCATTTAATTTAAAAGAGGTCACAATACATAGGACAGCTAAATATTTATTTTAAGATATTAAAACGTTATAAATCGCTACAATAATTACAGTTATGCTTCGACACCATAAATGTGTTTCTTGAGGCGATATTAGATTACTGGCGAGTGAAAGATTAATTTAATTTCAAAAAGCAGTATACTAAAAAAATAGTCTTGTGAGCTTTGTCGTGAATAACTAATCGAATGTGACCTACGCTAAATTCAAATTCTTCGGAATATATATATATATATATATATATATATATAAAATATGGGTCATGACACGAAGTTGTCTGCATATAAAAACTTGAGTTTCCTTTTGGGCACATATAGATTGTTACATTATTTCGTAAGGATGTATCGAAGCCAAACGCTCTTACTTCCCAAGGAGCAAAAGAGATGGGGAGGTAAGTTAACATAATGCTAGCCAGTTATATGACTCTTTAGCTTCTTACGTTAAATTTTGTTGTTGATAAATAGAAGACCCCTTTAAGAAACTAGCAAATAACATTCGGGAAAAAAACGGATCAAAAACACAGAACTACTTTGGCAAATTAATATGCGACAGTTAAAGAGCATTCATCTAAGATGTTAATAATACTAACTAATCAATGTGTAAAATCTCAGACTGATACCAAATCAGTCGGGTTTCGATCCCGGCTTGAAGCAATCAAATATCAAGCCACACTGTTGAGCTGTGAAATAGCGGAACAGTCTTTCTGTGATGGTAATATATACACACACATAAATATTATATATATATATATATATATATATATATATATATATATATATATATATATAATGCCTTGATATGAGGGAAAATAGTGTTTAACCAGAGGCAGGAAGAGTTTAAAGTTGCACTGATCTAGGAAGCATCCTCTTGGGAGAATATTTCACATAGTAGCGATTCTCAAGAAAATCTGTTCGAATTGAATTTCATGCATACGAATGGAATACAAAGTAAAAATGTTTATTCATCCTACTGTACGTGGCATGCCGGGACTGTGAAGGTCAGAGCGGGTGGAACTAAAAGTAACACTTCAGAACATTTGCCATGGAAATAGCGATCGAGCATTATATATATATATATATATATATATATATATATAGCGGGATATACGTTGATAAAACGAAGAAATAATCAAATTTTCATCACGGCTCTGCAAATTTAAATATATTTTTCATTATGCGAGTTATTTTCTTTTGAATTTAAAGAAAAGAAGTCGAAAGATTATTTGCGAAAAACTTCACACAAAATAGTTTGTGCATCTTTATATAGTTCAACCGAATGAATTGCGTTAGTATGAAAGAAACAGAATGTGTTTACATGTGAGAATGCGTGTGACACTGGTGTACATTGTTTTATATATGCGTATAAGTTGTAACAATATGATTAAGGAGGGGCCTGACTTACTACTGTTGATGCTTCAAAAAAAAAAAAAAAAAAAACTTAGTCTGCATGTTTTTTTTGTGTGTCGATACTCCTTGAATTTTTGGGGATGTTATATACTCAATTAAATATGCGAAAAACGTGATATTTTCAAACTGGTCAAATGTTAACTGAAAAACTAACTAGCGAACTAAAAATTGATGACTTTTATAATGAATAATCGGCTCCTGAAAAAACTAGTATTAATCTCAAATATATTGATTAATAAATATTTTCCAAATTTTTCAATATACATTTTAAGGAGAGAAAATATTGTTGATCATATTCTGAAGTAACCTTCCAAAATTTCGAAACAAAATATTTATTGTTTGCAAATTCAAAGAATACCGAGCGTCTCATACGATATCGCTGATGTGTTAATACATATGAATATAATCGTACATTTTTGGGAGTCAGTCCGAGAATAAAAATGATTTGGTTTTTGAGTTTATGCAGTATAACTTGAATCTTAAATCTGCATTTTTGTACAATTCTGTAACGTGGTTCCACATGCATGTATGTATCTATATGCCTGGCTCTATACACCTCATATGTATGTTATCTTTCTGTGTAACTTTGTGCTCGTATGTGTGTTTCTTCACTTGACTAAATGGGTTTTTTGGTTTGGTCCAGGTAAACAGTGCCACAATTAGGCTCATGAAATTGATTTCTATTTGCTAGTGTCAAAGTATGTCGATGCCCCAATGTATGTCGTGTCATTTCCCTCCGAGAATCACATTATTATTTTGTAAAGATTGAATTTCGCTTGCCTCAAGCTAGATAAGTATTTAAAGTAATTACGCCGACCTTTGGGAACGTAATGAAAATTGTCAAGTTTGCCGATTCCAGTAATAACTGCTGACGATTCAGTCTCGCTAGATTCTTTCATTTTGCAGACGATAAACTATTCCAGATCCAGCCTTCTTCGATCTGCGTGCTCGATGAAGAAAGTAGGACGACACAGTTTGTCACTTTAGGCGGGAAACCACACTTCGGGAATACAGTTTATTCGGATGAAAAACAAACGTAAAGATTTTATGACCACTTTTCATTTAAATTTCTTATTTTGATGTTCTCTATTCAGAAACAAAGACAATAGTGTTCACTCGTATCGTAGAATTTTAATAAGTACTAGCAGCATGGCCCGGCGTTGCCCGTGCTTGATTAAAAAATCGTACGACTCATACAGCAATCTCTGTCACTTGACTTAAAATATTTTTGCCCTTCCTTGCCTTTAAAGGAGTGCCCTTTGTCGTGCTGATGTTGCTACATGCCTTACTTTCCTATCTCACACTGCAAATTTTTTCTAAACTCTATACTAAACATTAAATCTGTTACGAAAAAAGAACTAAACAAAATGAACACAAAACGATCAGCTTTAAAAAAGGACTCGTAACTGGAAAAACCGAATGAAAAAAGAATGTTAACAACAAATACTTTTTCACACCCAACCCAGTTCTGCGGAATCAGAATCAACGTTGAGTTTAAGCAAGCGAATGAGCCAATTGGAGTAAAGTGCCATGCAGATTTAAATTTTTCCCACTTGTGACGAATGCAGCTATCGATTTTTTTTGCATGCTAGCATGCTAGTTAACATTCGTGTCAGTCAACTGTTGGCTCTCACGCTGGCCAATAGAATCTTCCTGCCTATTCGTGGCAGCCAGCTATAGGCTCTCACACTGGCCAGTAGAAAATGGCTGCAAACTACATGAAAACTGCCGTAGAAGCATGAAAAAATCCATTATTTCCACTATCGATGGGAGTTGGGAAATGCAAAGTCGGTCTTGGCCTTCCCGCTAACTTAGAGCATGTGCGTCGAAAATTGCGGCCGTGCATTCGTCACACACGCACACACACCCTGCCTTTTATAGATAGGGATAATGTAATTCAATGGAAGGTTAAAACGAATGGGTAGCGGGTGAGGGTCGGAAACATTCCATGGGGCCTAGGAAAATTATGATTTGTCATTTTTAAAATACTAGCTTCCTATTCAAGGTTTGGACTATTAACAGCACATCAACTGCTTATGGGTCATTTAATGCTGAAATTTAAGTTTCTTGTGAGTTTCGATAAATCATTTCTTTTTCAAAATATATTGCTACTAATTTTTTCTATGAAAATGTATTGTATTTTTAATATAAAAAATATTTTTATGTATTAATAAATGATTTGACCTCAGTTTTGCGGGGTAACTATTTGCCCATAGTTGGGACCCTAATATATGCTACCACCCCGTGTTAGGGGTACCTGGGCACAGCAGTAATTAAGAGTTGGTTCCACACTCCGCAAAAAACTCTCGATTAGAGGTCTTACTGCCGTTTGTTGTTTATCGTCATATCCTGGACTATCAATTCTTGATAACGAAGTGTATAATAAATTTCTATATAAGTATGTTATTTATCTGTAATGGTTTCCATCGTTTCTTGATACAGAAAGACCTGCGCCAACGTTTCAGAGTATACACAAAAAGGCCTTTCCTAAAATAAGACAAAGAAATACTTCAAATACAAGACAGGCCCTGATTTACATAGAAGAGTTATTAGATTAATTCAGAACCTCTTTTGGAAACAAACGATCTTCATGTGGATAAAGAACGAGATCAGTAAATACAAAATAATAAAGTAATTCAGGCAAGCATGCGATTTCGCGTTGTCTTTACAGTGAATGAATATATTGGGTTGGTGCATAATTATCAGGCGTTTTTAAATATTATGAAAAAAGAAACATAATAATTAAACAATAACATTTTTAAAATGATTATTCCAGAGCGTATGATTATCAAAACACATTTTTATAACCTGGAAATAATATTTTTATTAAGAAAAATGAACAAAACAGAAATTTTTATTAACAAATAACTCGCCTATAAAAACGCCTGATAATTATGCACCAACCTAATACTGTAGTGTATCTTCCTTTAAATGGCTTAAAATAAATTGTCATTTTATATCTTTAAATTTTTTTCTTATCGTAAATATCACCGTGGAAAATGGCGCCGCAGCCATTTTCTACTCGGTGGTATCGAGAGGGGTCTGGGAATTTTTTCTTAGCTGAGATGCGGGATCGGCGAGCAAAGACACTGAAAGAGGCGATTGTGCGGTATATATTCAGCCTGAAAGCCATATTGTTTCAGTTGGCTGGGCTGCTTATAATGGAATCGAGGAAATCAATCAAGGGATATACTCTCATGATCTAGTTATTCAGCAGCAGCATTTTGTGAATCTGGAGGCAGAAGAACAGTCTCGTGTTTTCAGCATTTATTGGCTGCATAGTCCACCACTACCCGTTGTAATAATGCTCAATTGTAATAAACGTATAAACTTGGTCTTATTGACTGTACGCTTTTCAGGGAATATGTTATACTGAAACAACTATTCTATTGTTAATAGACTCTCCCGCCTATAATAAGTAGGAGTAGTAGCAGTCGCTCAAAGTCGCTTAGTAAGTTGGTCAGTCAGTCGATGCCGGACGACTGTTAGTTGGACATTAAAGTATCAGCCACCACAACTAGATTGCTGCTTCATTAACTCTTATATCAAGTTCCTAACGTTTTGAACGTCAAACCTATTTTAGGACCGACTTAGTGAAATACAAGCCTCCACTGGGAAACTACTCTATAACAGAATAACAGTTCCTTTTACGAGATTTAAGTGAAGGATTACCGACATATGTTGCTGATACTAAGTTGATAGACGCTGAGGAAAATTGTAAAAACTTTAGAAATGATAATAAAAAGCCAAAAAAAAAAAAATCAACAAAAAAAAAAAAAAAAAAATCAGAATTTCTCAGAAAAAGATGCAGTCCGACTGATGATACCAAAGAAACGTCAAGAAAATTTCAAACACCTACAGAATTTTAACTATCTGGGTAATATAGCAAGAGACGTAAATGTGACATAAAACTGACAGCACAGAGGAACAGCGAAAAATGCCTTTCAGAAACTAAGCAATGTATTAAGAGATAACAAACTACTCTCCTTAATTACAAAATAAGTTGAACTGTTATGCAAAATATAATATCCTCTATGGTAGTGAATTCTAAACACTCTTCACTGATGAAGAGACTTGAAACGTCAGCGATGTGGTTCCATGAAAGAATTCTCAGAATAACATAGAACATATTACTATCGAGGTGGTGTTAAAGTGAACAGGTCTTACAAGGAAATGTAAGTTTTCAATAAGAAAGAGTAGAGTTGAAATTACTGGAACATGGAATGAGTGCTTGGAAAAAAATAAAAAGTCTCAAGAATTTTGCATTCACATGAAAACGTCAAGTTCTAGCAAGGGTAAAAGGGGAAACTTATTTATGGAATATTGAAGTGACTTGATTTCCACTGGAAGTCCCAAGCCTATACTTGTGTGAAAAGTCAGGGTTTTCAACGACAATAAAAAAAAACTGAATCTAAAAGCTAAAGAGAAAATATATATATATATATATATATATATATATATATATATATATATATATATATATATTATAAAATTTCTGTCTTATCGGACTCCTCTTAGGGTTTTGGAGATAGATCCCTATAACCATATATATTCTGAAACTATATTACCCAGGGTACTTGGATAAGTATATTTCATTTTGATAAAAGCGGGTATTAGCCGTTCCTTTATATCAAAACATTCGGCAGACACTTACTGAACAACTGTCGATTAAAATTTATCAAATATTTCTATTAAGACATTTATTCAGAAATGTTATTCAAATCCAGTAGCTGTTTATTTTATTTTTTAATGTTTTTTTTTTATGTTTTTTTTTACTGCGAGCTTCACCCTGTACGCGACTCAGCGGCGGTGGGGGGACTAGATGTAGAGTGTTGCAGAGTAGGAGGAACAGTATATTCGGGTAGATGAGGGAAGATAACGGTTAATTCTAGACATGAACAAATTGAGGTTATAGTGATCAGTGAATCATCCTTTTCGAAGTCAGTTCCACACCTATTGTTCGCGGAAAGCTGCTGCTCGAGTGGAACCTTTATTGCTGATTTCAGTATTGATGCGGTGTTTCCTTCCTAAGCTTTTGTTCATGTTATTTTCTCTTCGAGTTAGACTTGCTATCCACTTTAATTATTGCTGCTAAAAAAATCCTCTAGTGGTGTGGCTTTTGTTATTTGGGATATTTATTTTGGATTCCGTAGCGCCAGTTAACGAAATTCGAAGAAGGATGAACCTCTTTAAGACCAACAGAAACAATTTGCTCGAAGCCATTTTAAATTGGTGGTGTGAGAAAGTCGTACAGAGTTGACATATTTTTAAACGTCAGGATATCCACAGGAAAATCACGTGATTCTGATATCTTCAGATTCTTTAATATGATGGAAAATGACCAGTACAAATGACATTTAAATACAGCATAGATAAAGGAATGAGTAATAAAGCATTTTCTGTAGTAATATAAAAGGCTCAGAATTTACAGGCACTCACAGTAGCCAGGTTTCGTATGACGAATTAATTGTTCCATCGATTTTAGCAGGTATTGCTTTGTTAGACATTTGTGAACCCGAATATGGTATATTAAAGTACAGTGTTGAATGTTCGCTAGGGTCTCATAGATAACAGTCTGATTATGCAGACCACGGCTTGCGAAGTGAATCCAATCATTTTGGATGGTATTGTCTGTCTCCATCACGATCAAATACCATCCAAGCCAAATAAAGTAGCAGCATTCGACGAGGTTGGTGATAAAAAAAGCAGTAAATAAATTCCTCATGAAAATATATTAATGCAAAAGTTATGTTGTGCAAGATAGAATAAAACAATATGGCCTATATATTTGGTGGGGGGAAAGACATGCTTGAAGGTATATTTCCTTAAGTTCTTTCCTATAAAAGAGGAGACCAAACAAATATGGAATGAGCAGAAAACTCCTTTTTTATTCTTTCACGAATTTTTTTTCTATTGGGAAATATCCTATCTGAAACGGGATAAAAGGCAACTCGCAGATGATGAAAACGTTTCTAATAAATCATGTTAAAAACTATTTTCTGGAATGTTGACATGAACCTCTTTCCTTTTTTCAAGTTATTTAATCTAGGCTTCTAAATTATTCATTTGATCAAAGTTTTGATCAGTGTGTTGACCAGCCTTCCTAAACTATTTTAACTGTCCCTTAATACTGTGAAGTGTTTGAATACTGCACGAAATATTTTTCCTTGAACAATCATGTATGCAAAACAGACGTTCAGAATTAAGCAAGTGATTCCAGAGAGTTTCTGGTTTTAGTCAAAATATTTGTATGAATTACAAGCAGTTTTATTTATTTATTTTTTAGTGAAAATAGAAAAAACTTTTTGCATAATTTTTTAATACTTCGGAATACATTTTTGAATGCTGGAATTTAGTTTAAATTTTTTTAATAATTTCATCCCATCAAGGCAATAAAGCCATTAAGATGCCAGTGGATACTGTGTATTAGAGAATAGGAAAAAAAAAACCACTTAAGATAGAACAAAAGTACAGAAGTTAACGATTGATATTGCATTGAAATTTGTCATGATTAAAGTTGACTTGAAAGCAAGAAGCCGGGAGATAGTTCCACAAGCGAGAAGTGCGATAGAAGAAAGTATTAGCATAGAACTCATGGCTGCATCTAACGATTTCAACTGTAGAACGATGCTGCCAATCTAGTACTACACTTAAATAACGTGTACCACAGAGCAAAGTTCATAAGAAAAAAATACCATGGAAATGTCTATAGAAAAGGCAGAGGGAAGCAACGATACGGAAGATGGAAAGTGACTGAAGTTCGGAACCCAAGACAAGACTTGCAGATTCTTTGGATTTTATCAAAAATCTATGCATATATAGCAAGAGAACTCGACTAGATGTGGCAGCAATATTCAAGACAAAGAATTAAAGATAGATATGTAATATATTAATAAAATCATTTTTCTGTATAAAACCCTTTTTTCGATTTTATTTAGCCATTTAAAAACATAACTCATGACAATAACAAGTTAATGATATAGTTATATTTTAAGTATGGTGTTTGAACACATCACGATAGTAAAGAAATAAAAATCCCCCACAGTACTAAACGTAAGGTTAATTACCTGTTGAACTGTTCAACATTGTCTGAATTGCTCTTATCCATCGCGGTATTCGGCTTTTATATTATTATTACTATTTTTTGTTAGGCCGCCATTGTTTCACGAATCTTTTCAAATAAATGTCATTCCATCGGGATTTGATAAAAAGTTTTGGAAATTCAGAAAAAAGTACTTTTCTGTATTTCTCGAGTCATTTCCATTCGGATTTAGATACATTTTCGTTTTGAATCATGATGGCTCGATCTGATGACTTCCTGAACTACTTGGCTTACGGCCATATCACTTTGGAAACATTGGTTCTCCTACGATCGTGGAGGTTAAACAACGTCGAGCGTGGTTGGCACCTACATGGGTGACCGTTTGGGAAACAACAGGTGCTGGTTGTTTCCATGTGCGGGTGGGTTAATGGAATTGGAAATCGGAGAGCCGAGTTTGAATTCCAGTTTGACTCGATACATTCACCTACGCAAATATCCTTGAACGATTACGAATTGAAGAGAGAATTGACCACCAAAGTGTGTCACAACGGTCCTCTATGAACACGCACCGGTTAATGGCCTATTCCACCCCGTGAATCTGGAACTGAGTATCCTCACAGGCTGAAAAGAGAAACTACTTCAGGTCTGAAGTGACTTGATAAAAATTACCGAAGCTTCGAGGTTTGACAAAAAGCCATTTAGTCATTGATTAATGATATGGCGCAAAACGGGATAAAAAGGTTTTTCAAAGGATTGGAAAGTTCAGTTATGTAAACACTCAATGTCAAAATATTCT